TCGTGCTATAGAAATAAAGTGGATTGGATTGGATTACATTTTTCTTCAACAGGGAAATACAGGGCGTAAATAGCTGTATAGTTATGTAGTTAGAAATGATGGTAACCTGGAAATGTTTGTCTAGTCTAGTTTTGTTATTTAAAACAGGCTTACCTGTTGATATTGCCTCATCAGCAGGTCCCTAATGGCAGTGAGTTTCCGTCCACTGAGGTTAGCATCCTTGATAGCTTGATATCTGGTGGACAGAACCAAGGCCTGAAAAAGGACATCACTCTCTTAGCGGGGAATTAAAAGAACAGAACAACTGCTACCTGGCAACCGCACAAACAATGTCATGGATTGAATATAAAACTAATACCTCACCTGGGATAACAGGGGCTTTTGCTTCGAAGTCAAGCTGGTCACAAAGACATAAGGGGTTTGAAGATGGTGAACAACATATGTTGGCTTCAGGTGGTTGGGCCGAGAGAAGCTGTCTCCCCATGCAATCCGAATCCACACAGCTTCATCAGTGTGCTTCTTTATTTTGACAGACACCTTGAATGCAGTGACAAAATCTGATTTTGAGCCTGTAAAATGTCTTTCAACAATGCAACTATATAATTAGTGAGATTCTGTAAACTACGTGAGGAAGAATATCTGGCTTACAGGTCTCACAAGCTCACTGAGGTGAGATTTAAATTGCTCCTTGAACTGCGTCAGCTCTACGGAGCAAGCATCATCTGGAAAACAGAGAAAATTCTAAGCTGATTAAAACGGGACACAGGTTAAATGTATTTCTGTGCAAATCCAAAATTCAATGTAATGACGCAGCAATAACTGAATCATAATATTGCATGTAATTAAGTGGAACAAACAGATAAAGAATATATGTGTGCCACTTCTATACAATGTTTTAAAAATGTTAACCTTGCTTTATAACTGTAAAACACGTCAAGACCCAGACTCCACTCTATTAAACTTGAAACCAGAAAGAAAACCCTGATCCCACCAGCAGCTGGAAGTTCAAATAAAGAGCTGCAGACTTTCACCCTCCATGGTGGTGGATACATGTTCTCATCTTAAAATACCTTCAGGGTCCAAGAGCTGGAAGGCATACCACATGCCCTGGTTCGGATTGTCAATGACATCTAAGAGACAATGAAACCAAAGCGACACAAGAAGCATTATCAGATTGATGCAGTGGTAGGAGTCCAAATGAGAAAGTAAAGTAACTTGACTTACATATCATCTCCAGCTCTGTGATGTGTTTAACTGTCCACTCGTGTTCCTGTAAAGAAAACAAGGTTAAAAGACGGTTAAATCCACTACGACGCTATCTACATCCAAATGAAGCTGATTCTTATTGAGAAGTAACCACACGTTTATATAAAGCAGCGTTAACCGTGGTTAGGATTGATTTTACAGCCGAATTCAACAAGTATTTAAAGAATGTGTTGTAACCATGTTAGAAGATTACACTGTATATTATAAAACAACAACAAAAAAACTGCCACAAACCTCGCACACAGCCAATAACCTTTCCGTCAACGCCCATTTAGGTTGAGTAAAATCTATGGATTGTCTCTGAGCCGCAGTCAAACGGCCCCATTTGTCCAGCGTTGTTCTCAGCAGCTGGGTCGGTATCCGTCTCACGAGGCGCTGCAGTAAGCGTTTCGTAGCGTCGTCCATTATTACGCGAGTACTAATCGATATTTAGCTGAGCTGCTGTGTTGGAAAACAGTTTTTGAGTTCAATTAATTACTTGTCTCCGTCTGGCTTGCACGGTGGCAGCAGTACCGTTTCCAAACAAACCGCCGACAGCGGAGCACACGAATCGACCAATCAGATATTAGCAGAGGGTCTTACGCGCTGCCTTTAGCGCCCTCTGTTGGGTTGGAGTGGTACTGCCGCTGCCATTATATCTGAATGACTCTGCTTGGTACTAATTATTACTCATTATTACTTCAGAACGACGTAAAAGTACCCATGCAACAATCTAAAAATACTTCATTATAAGTAAAAGACATGGTTTCAAATGTAAAAGTTTATAAGTGTTTTTTTAAGTGTCATTAAAACATATTTGAAGAACCAAAAGTAACAAACGTTCTGCAGTAAAATAAGATAAGCCTTTCTTGATCCCCAGAGGAGAAATGTGCTTGTTGCAGCTACAGAAAGACAGAAAGAAATACAGATAAATAGAGAAAAGTAAAAGATAAGTATGAGATGTGTAAAGTGGCGTGATTAGAGTCAGCAAGCATAGCACATCAGACTAATATATAACAGAAATATATAAAGTGGAAATATATCTCCACTTCCTCTGCTTGGATGATAACTATGGCAGGGGGCTTCCTGTTCCTCTGGTAGTCCACCACCAGCTCTTTGGTCTTGCTAATATTGAGCTTCAGGTGATTGTTTTGGCACCGTGTGACGAAGCTCTCCATCAGTCTTCCTCCTTGTTGTCTTCGTTGAGGCATCCAACAACAGAGGAGTCGCTGTAAAACCTCTGAAGATGGCGGAAACCTGAGTTAAAGTGAAAGTCTGTGGTGTGAAGACTGAAAAGTAATGGTGCCAGTACAGTTCCTTGAGGTGCACTTGTGTTGCTTATTACAACCTCAGAGGTGCTGCCAGTGGCCCCTGGTACTGGTATTGATGCATACATGTGTATGTGGTTAAGGTGTATCTAGTTTTAGCTACTTTAGTGCTTCTGGAAGTACTACTCTTCTTCTCTGGTGCTCACTCAAAACATGTGTTCTTGTACAAACCCTACTCCAGTCCAGTAACCATGAAAGCTATTAGTTAAGTAAGTTAAGGACACCAGACCCCCACAAGAGTAGAACAGGGCAGAAGCACGGCCATCATCTCTACTTTTGTTAGGCAGAATAATGCATATCAAGCATTGGTATCCATCACTGACATCTGCCATTACTTTGCCTTTAACTAAAATAATGAATTGTATATACTATATAATAATTATTGCATATACTGTATATACATATTATCCACCTACCTCATGTCTATAAAAATACTTGCACAAAAATATTTATTCCAGTATCCACTATTGTCTTGCTGTCTACAAATGTTATAGTTGTTAATGTTTATATATGTATATATATATATATATGTGTGTGTGTGTGTGTGTGTTCATCTTAGTTTATGTCTATTTTGTTGAGCTTGTTGTCCTGTTTATTTATGCTTATTCTGTGTATGTATGAGAGTCATATTCCTTGAATGTGTACACACACCCGGGCAATAAAAGTGATTCCTATTCTGAATAAGAGAGCATACTGACGGTATAGTTGTCATATAAGCACTAGCAGCAGAAGTAAGTCGTTATCGCCTCTCAGAAAGGACGTCTGCTCAAACAAAAACGGAAGTACGTTACAGGGAAACATCTTGTATCTCCTGTAAACTTCCGCCATCAGAAGTCCCACCTTTTGTGAGAAGGACGCATGCTATTGGTGGATTGAGGGAACAGGCGGACGCTGATTGGCTCTTCACTATTGTCACTCAAACTGTCATCAAACAGTTACGAAAGCTTCAAGTGTTGTGAGCAGCATGTCCTACAGCACCGTGCGGTTACGTTGTTGCAGTTAAAGACTAGCAGATTGAACCCAAACTGTAGAGGTAATTTAGTATCCTGTCGTTATTCTACGAGAGACAGAGGAAACCCCGGTACTTATTCAGCGGTTGCATGTTTTTATGCTGCGTCACACACAGTGAAGGTTAGCCGAGGCCTAGCAGTTAGCTAGCCAATGTGACATTTCACGGAGGATTGCTGGAAAAACCTCTCAGATGACTCAGCCTCTCCACTGGTAAAGGTATTACAGTTACCTACTGTGTGTAGCAAGTGCAAGCGTTATCAAATAGTGTATTAAAACATGCAACAGGCACCTCAACTATTTACAGGTCAAAACTCAGTGAGCACTCACAGTCTAGTCAAGTGCTTTATGTAGCCTGATCCAGAGTGTTGTAGTCAGGGCTGTTGGTTCAGTTTCAGCATGGTTCCAGAGGATTGAGGGGGAATGCGAGTGGTTTGTGAAGCCATGATATTACATGTGTCACAGTGTTGTATACTCAACCTCTCCCTCTCTGTGTCTGCAGGTAAGTGCCCACAGGACAAACAAGCTCCATCCTCACTATGACAGCTCAGGAAGGAGAGGGATGGGGAGGTATGAGTATCCTTTAGAGGACATGTCCTTGGCATGAGTGTAACAGTGCTTAGTTGACATTCAAGATGAATCCACAGCATTTCCATTCAAATGTATGAATTGCTTTTAAACAAGCAAAACTTGTAAACGGGCAATTTAAAGATGACACCTTGGGCTCTGGGAAGTTGTGGAGAGCATTTTGACATTTTATAGACTAAATGATTTATTAAAAGTGCACGATAAAGCTGCATGATATGGTTAAAAATAATAATAATGCACTTATATTGACATATATGGTGAATTTATGAATCAACATTTTTTTATTTTCACTGAAAAAAAACTTAAAATGGGGTCAAACAAACATGTTTTATAACAGCTGGAGAACAAGGTTTGTAGGCCAGAGTATCTATTTTGAACTACAGTATTTATAATACAATTACAATATAGTGCTGTTTTCTCACACATATTAACTTTATTAAAACACTACAGCTTCTGCAATTTGGATATTGCACTTGCCATGTTGTGATTTCGATAATATTTCGATTAATTGTGCAGCCCTAATTAATAGACTAAATAAACTAGATAAGGTAAGACAGACTTTATTGATCCCCCACTGGAGACATTTACTTGTTACAGCAGATCCAGTTATAACATAGCAGATAAGAAAAAAAGAAATGCACATAAACTAACAAAATAAAATAGAAAAATACAAGATCTCAAGAAAAAAAATAGAAATAGGGTTGTATGTACACTATATACAGTATGTTATACAGATGTAATTTAAAAGGTCTTCAAATCAATAATGAAAGTAACCATTAGTTGCAGCCTTAGTCTGTACATTTGATCTTCTGATGTAATGGAAAAGTGACAGCAAAATGCAAACTTAGATGCATTTGATGCAGTTCAAATGTGTGGCCACACAAACATTCAACAGTAACTGATGAATCCACTCAGCGCTCCTCAATCAGTGGTCCTCTTGTTTGTGCCTTTTCAGTATTGCTGCAGTGGTACAGTACGCCCTTAACTCAGCATGCACCCTGACCTGTCACCTCACCTGCACACGGACGAGTGTAATGAACTGATAACTCGTCTGAAGCAGTGCCACACGGAGGTACGTTCCTCTCTAAGTTCTTGAATTCCTGCGTGCTTCATATGCCCAGAAAACAAAACAATGCAGATCTTGTTTCATGTCAACCCCGCAGCACAATGTCCTGAAGTTCTTTGGCACGTGTAACGATGTGGACCGTGCTGTGCGTCAGTGCCTGAAGAAAGAGGTCTGTCAGTTATTTTTTTTGCACTTTGTGAATAAGATACAAGAAACACTCTGACTACTGACCTTTGGTTTTCTTTTTTTGCTTTCTGATCAACGTTTTCTTTGTTTGCTTACCATTCAACAGAGACTGGACAAGCGGGAGCGCAGCAAGCAACACGCGCAAGAGATGAGAAAGAGGCTGAAAGAAGGGCCTAAGGAGCAGCTCTGAAGGACATTTTACTGCAACTTTTCTACTGCCACTGCGAGTTAGAACTATTAAAATATTGGAAGACTGAATTACGAATGACACTGTAACAGGACTCTGCTGTTGGTTCATTTCAAGACAAGGAACGGTTATAACTTCTGACACATTTCTGAGTTTTTGTCATCTGCACAGACTAAAACTTGTACCAGGACATTTTAGGTCAACATAAAAACAATAGCATCTAGTACTTTAGATTACGTCTATTGGGGATCATCATTTATTTCTCTTCTGTTAGCAGCTCCATCAAAGAGATTAGTGTAGCTGGTGGCAGGAGCCTTTCATCAAATCATTATTTTAGTTGGCAGGACACTCAGGAATATTCTGGTACCTGATTTATTCATGAAAACAGGGAGAATCCATTTCAGGGAATCAGAGATGCATGTAAAAAAAAAGACCCAGAACTGGGTTATTCTGTGTGAACACACTCATGGACATAGACATTGTTGTTTGAAAGTTTATTTAAATGGGGAATCATATTGATTCGTTACAAGTTTAATTTCTTTCAAATAAAGTGAAATTATGTTTATTAATGTGAGAATCCATTCTTGCTTTGATTTAGTGTGTCATCCTTGTAAAACAACAAGGTATCAATCAGGATATCTGCAGGTTTTTAAAAGTCCTTAAAGCATTTGAATTAGTTTCCTCAAAAGAGGCCATAAAATGCAGTAAAGTCTTTAATATAATTTACAAGTATTTGAGCAAATAATATGATAAATAATTGTAGGCTGTATCGTACGTACTGGTTCTCCATCATGCTTTAATACTAGTTAAGTTGGTATTGAATTCTGTGTGGTCCTACAAAGTCTTATATTTAACTGAACCCTGCTGAGACCCTGGTATATAAATATAATCTAAACTCAAAGGTCCAGCTATTAATCATTTATAGCTTTCAAGTGCAATTCATGGTCTTCATTCAGTAGCTGGAGCTGGTGTCGTGACCTAAATGGGAACCTTTAGTCACATGTTAGCCAGTGCTCATATAACAGAGAATGGCTGGATGTGGTTTGACATCTTGATCTTTCTTTGGCTGTCTACTGGTTCTTGGTCAACGGGCTTTCGCTCACGTGGCAAATTTTTTTTTTTGTTGTTAAGTCATTTCCTGAGTGAATACCATGCAATGTGGGGCGTCCCGGTAGCTCACCTGCTAGAGCATGTGCCCCATGTACAAAGGCTGAGTCCTTATCGCAGTGACCCAATAATGATTCAAACCTGTGGTCTTAATACCACAAACTGATACATCAGTGAGGACTCTTACTTCCTCACAACTCAAAGAGGACATGCCAAGTACCTGAACCGGAGTTGAAAGACAATAGCACTGAAAGATGTGACCAGGTTACCGAGTGTTGGTCAGATGACTAAAAATGAATACAAAACTGTCAACAAAAGCCTAGTTATTGGTTTGTGAAATGTAATACAGAAAAATCAGTGTTAGAGTACTGTTTCTTTATTTGAAGTGGTTCACTCTACCCATCACAACGTATAGATCAACCTTTGACAGAAACGTTGTGTTTAAGGCACCCCAAGGTGTGTTTTGAGACAAAGCGGGGAGGAAAAAAACATGAATGATGAAATACACGTACATGGGAGCACACATGATTTTGTTGTTATAAAAGACAGAAACAGAGAAATCTGTCGAAATAGGCAGTCATTTGTAATAAATAATGGAGCAAATAGGAGGAGGGCTTCTTTTTTTCATCTGATTTACTTAATATCTTATGATTAAGCACACTTCAAACACATGCTGAGGAGGGTAATTGGAATCTGATTTCAAAGGAGAAATCAAAGTAAAATGCATTTTTTTTATTTCCGGTGACACAATAAATAAAAATGAATAAATACATAAAGACCCATGTCTTAAAAGATCAGTGTGATTAATGCTCAGTGGATCTGAGAGATTTGTGTTCAGTGATGCTGTTCAGTAGCCACATCACACAGGTCCTTCTAACCTCTTCTTGGTACCATAAAGCTAATCAACAAATGGGTATATTAACTTCTTTTAGCAACAGATTAAGAATATAGTGAAATAAGTGAATGTAGGGACTTTCATTAAATAAACCCCACAAAACCCAAACAAAATCTGAGTGATTATTTACGCCTGGTTGATTTTTTTGTCACAAACCTGCCAAACATGCAAGTTTTAATTGAATTAAGTTGCTGTTCTGTAGTTGATTACTGTACATATTTGGCAAAATAGGATACAAGATAATGAAACTGTGAAGGTTTTATTTTTCACGAACTTATGTGGAGGTGTGCTGTTGATTAATGGAGGACTTCATGACTTAAAAATATCCAATAATGCGTCATCAAGCCATTATTTGTTCCCTGTGATCAAACAGCCAAATAGCCAAAGACCTAAACTACCTCATGGAGCGATAACAGAGTCTTACATGCTTGAAATACGATAAAGGTCATTTTATTGATCATCTTTCCATACTTGTAAAGCTCAGTAAAACATAATATTATATATTAAATTATCTGACACGCCTTTGATAATTTACCACAAAATACTTAATTTGATAATGTCAACTAAAAAAGTAAACATTCAAGTTCAACAATAGTGTTTGCACATTTTGGCTTTGAAATTATATATGTATAAATTATCTGCTTTCCTGACCCATTTGATAATCAAAGTTTTTATAGTATAATTTAGAAAGGGTGAATAAGAGAGTCGGGGTACTTCTGGAGCAAAGGAGACCACATGGCACTGCACATCCAAACAGTTATCTCAAATAAATACAAAAATAAACTGCACCATTTCTAACAATACTTACAATGTTGGTACAAAACATACCCTGGAATACAAGGTATTCAGACAGGCAACACATTAATATGTACAGTATATTACATGCAATTAGTTACACAAAACAGTTTATATTATCTATATATTATTTTGTACTGCATGTGTACAACTGCAAAAATGATAACAGATATCTTCTGAATTTTACAAAACAATCTTCACAGACCTACATTTTTTTGGTAAAACAAAATAGATCCCTAAATATAGTACACATTGCAATGTAAAATCTCTTAAAATCTTAAATCATCACATGCAGATAAGGACAAAGCTGACTCCAACTACACGACTGTTGCATTTCCACAATATTGATCACTGACAATTAGTGTAGTCACAATGTGATTACTTGAGGACCAAGCAATGTCATCTCTTTTCGTGTGCTTTAAAATATACACAACTAAAAATAACTGTCAGGTAATATCAACATGATTATCTGATGCTTTTCATAAAACAATCACGCATTTCACACAGTAACTATCTGCACTGGTAACTGGAAGCCATGTTATACATATGAACCACAACAGTACTGCATGTAAGGCTACTCACTATATGTATCTCAAACAAAATGAGACAAAATTCATTGCTAATCCTTCCATGTGATATGTGCCACCAATTAATTTAATCAACAAGTCATTTTGTACTCAAGCCTAAGTGCCGTTCGATTAACAACGGTCACATTTTTACGTTCAGGGCTAGCATTCACACTTCCAGTGACTTCCAGTGTTCTCCATTTCCACTTATTTTCTAATTTGAAAATTGAATTTAAATGCAACTAGAGTACATTTCAATTCAAACAAGTCTGCCTTAAAAGAAAAACTGAGAATAAATAAAACTTGTCATATCTGTTGTGTAGCAGGTAGAAATAACTAAAGACAGATGGATGTTGGCAGTCTGAGGATGAAATTTCCTGTACTAACACCAGACGGTCTCATTAGTACATGGACATTAATCTTGATTTCATGTAACAGAAGGAATTTCATTGTGATTACGATAATGATGACAAGTTACTGGAAAACAAGACGTCTGTTCTTTGTAATAAAGACTTTTACAGTATGAACAATGAATTATTTGATGCAAAGAAACCAAGTTTTATTCTATCCAGAGTGTATCATGATCTTTTTCAGATTATATGTCTTGAACAGTCACTATATATATTATATATGAGCATTTGTGGCCAATTTTCTAACAGTTTTCTTCAGTCCATACAGAGAGGATGGAATGTGCATGTAAGGAGCAAGAAACGGTGTCCTCATGCAAACTTTGGTTTACACTTCAACTCAAAAAACAAGCAACCAAAGAAAATCTTGAAAATGCATCTTATATACAGACATATACAGAAAGTAACTCTTTTACACACTTGAAATAAATATATATTAATATATATTATTGTCAATGTGTCATGTGCTATCAGACATACATTGATTTCATACATCCTGATGATTTCATAAACGCATAAGTCTAGCATATGTACAGAAACACTCTGTACCTCCCTGAAGAACCTCCTTCAGTGTGTATTTAAGCAATGCACATTTGGCCCTTTGCTCTTTGACTGCTAAAGAATAAACATCTGGACAGTTATGGGTCCATTAAAACAAAAACAAATACTTTAATTGTTGTGAGAACAGAACTCCAGAATATCACCTCTGCTGATGGATGGAAAAAAAGACCCTTAATGCAACTATTCCTTCAGTTTGGATGTCCCTCTGTAGATAACCTTTGAACCTTTCATCACTTCTCATATGTCTTGTTGTGCAGGTAACTGAAGAGTGCCTCTAGTCCTTTGGTTGAACACCACAGCTGCTTCAGCATCTGGCACTCTTTCTCATTGACTTCCTCCAGGACTGACATGAGAATACTCCTCACCAGGCATTTGGATTCTTCTAAAACCTTTTCAAACACAGAAAGGGGAGAGGGTCATTTGTTTATATTCAACAGAACGCTTTGCTCGCTGGGTTGTCTAGATCAGGACCTACCACTGCGTTGCATGACGCCATTTCCTTCACACGCAACATCACCTCTTGATTAAATGTGGTTGGCCAGAAGACCTGTGACACCAGACCTCGGCTGCAGGCTTCTTGGGCTGTGAGTTTTCTTCCACAGAACAGCATCTCGTTGGCCTGTCAATGGGGAAAGAAAGGGGGGGGGGGATTACAAGTGATATTTCCATTATGCCGTGCAATCCAAATTTTTGATTTGGGTAAAGTCCCAGTAATCAGGTGGTTGTAAGAGGAATCAAATTAGGTCAAGGACCCACCAGAGCTACGCCTAGGATTTGGGGGAAGGTGTAAGAAGAGCATCCAGAGGGGGTGAGGTGGAGGGCTGCACATGGAGTTTGGAACCAGGCCCTCTCACTGGCCCACACCACATCACACAGTGGCAGGATGGAGGCCCCTAAGCCCAGAGCAGGCCCGTTTATTGCTAACACAATGGGTTTCTTGAAGTGGATGAATGCCAATACAAAGTCCCTAAAAGGGGTCAAAGAGCAATCAGTACCAACTCTGTCAAGTCTAATAACAAGTGATAAGAGAGAGGTGTTTACAGTGGTCAGATTTCTTATTACCGTACTGCATCTGCGATGCGGCTGCTCTCTTTTCTGCGGTCAGTGGACAGACGCCCGATCAGGTACGACGGCTCCAGGCCACTGCAGAAAACAGTCCCCACGGAGCTGAGCAATAATAGTTTGCTGTCATCAGCAGCTGCATTACCCAGAGCTCGACAAACTTCCTTCATGATCTGAAGACGAAAAAAAGGAGATGAATATTACTTTCTTAACTGATCCGACACATGAAGAAAGGTTGAGAATAAAATGTAAAATATAAATATACAATCCTAGAATCTACTCAGGATTTTAAGAAGTTTTTCTGGCAAACAGACAGGCCTAAGAAATAACAACAAACACTGGCAATGCAAAAATTGCTATTTCCATTCCTACAATGCTGACAGCTTATGGAAAAGTGTATTTACAATGGTGCTATTCATATAGCGTAATTAGGCACCATGTGATCAACATATCTTCAATTGAGGGCCACAGATTCTCAGGATTAAGTTTTATAAGTGCTGGTGTTACGTTAAGTTGCGTTTGGTATATATTTAAAAACCCAATGGTTTAAATTTGTCTTCCCCTGCCTTTATTTATATTGTTAAAATACTAAATTGATTAATAAAGTGATAACAAAATGCAAGCTTTTACTCTCTTATTACTGTTACATTCTGGAAGTGCTTTATGTCTGACAAGATCTCCGACAGACAACAAATTCTTTCAACAAAATGAAGTGAATAATTATGGCATCAAGAAATATATTAAAATATAAGCATACTTCAATGGAAGCCACATTCCATTCAAACTAGCACCATATAAGCAAGTACAATGGGACAATGGGAACGTTACAATATGTTTATCATGTCTGCCTTTACAAACAAAAGTATCAAAGGCTCATGTGAGATGTTTACATGACAACTTGCTGGCCAGCTTGTTTCCTTGACAACCTGCCTGCCAGCAGCAACTGACTTGACCGTATGCTGATAACAGCTTCTACTGGCTGCAGTGTGGAACCAACAGGAGTTGTAAGAAAAGTCAAATAAGTTTTTCCTCTTAATTAATTCACAGGAAATAATCAAAGGAATCAACGGTGAGTATTCAGTTCAGTGCGTCTGCAGTATTATATCTCAACAAAGCAATGTAGCAGTCTGTGAAGTTTCACTCTGTCAGTTAATATCAGCACCGCATTATTCAGCATCAACAGTCAGTGTTTGGCCTTTGTCAGACAGCCGACCTGATAAGAAGTTGTCTGGAAAGCCCAACACCCACAGGGCCACATCACTGTCTGCAGTCAATCTGCACAACTATAGCTGCGTTTTAATCAGATTATCACCCCTGACCCATATTAACCATTCAACCTCAAAGTGAACTTAATTCTCTGTGTCTCACCAAGCACATAATCTGTGCCCAGTTTTAACTAGATGTGGTGTGTGTGTGTATCTGTGTGTGACTACGAGTGATGTTATTGTCTGAAGCTGAATCAAAATCAGATACGTGAAGCAGAGATGGGCAGACGCTGGTTCCAGTCTGAGAAACAAAGAGGAAGAAGAGAGCAGTCAAAGTGACATTCATGTGCAGCGAGCAGAGGCCTCGAGGACATTTGCAGATAAACAAAGGTGGTATCCACAACAAAGAGACTTGCAACTGAATGCGTCAGCTCCCTAGAAATAAAATCACAACCTCTAAGGGCGGTTACAAGCCAATCAATCATGTATTTTTATGTCTTTTGGTGCATTTTTCAGTAGGACAGTTTTGGATTTCTCAAAGCAGAAACAGCTTGCCGTTTTATGGGGCTTTATCGGAAACCACTCCCTCGATCATGTGTTCACTGCTCCCTATAGAACAGGCACTCAATAGGTTACTGTAGAGAGCAGTAAGTTAAAATATATAAAAAGTAGTGTACATGCCATGGAGACACTAAAACTGTGGACAGTGAATATAGTGCATTACATAGTGAATGGGAAATGATTGCAGACACAGTCCAAGAGTTTAAGAGAGCTCTACCTAAATTATCTGCTAGTTTCTAAGATTCTAACAAGCCTCATGTCACAGTTTCAAAAAGCATGGGCGTAGATAAGGAAATTAAGGATGGCTGAATTCCATTTAGCTGCATCAGTTTCGGGGGGGGTGGCATAGTGCATGCTGGCTCACTGTCACGGCTTACTGGGACACTTGAACAGAACAGAGCCATTGTTAATGATATTAGTAACACCTGTGCTTTTTGCTGCTATAACAAGGCAAAATGTCTGTTGTGAAAAAGGCCTATTGGGATCCTTTCTTCCCTCTTAATTTGTGCTTTATTAAAGGCAGGTGTGCAGCAATTAGGCCTATATAACACAGTGTTTACATACAAATACACTATATGCCACAGATGCCTGATGAGAGTGATCTAGATCATAAAATGATCATAAAATCATTGTTTCATAGTCAGTGTGTTGCTGGAAAAAGTGAAAGATGTTCAAAAACACTTGAAGAGCAATATAGCACAGACGCAGAAAGCTGCTGTACGTTAAGCCAGAAAGGTGACAGAAACAGTACCAGTTAACGGCTCGGGGAACTGTCTCCCTTTAAGCAAGCATCGAGTGTTCGGATGAAAAATGTACAGGGATAATTTTGAAGATTTTCGCAGCAAAAGCCATTCAGTAGACACATCCGCAGACTCTCTTGTTCCTGTAGCTTCAAAGACTGAGGGACAGAGAAGGAGCTATCAGAGCTGTTTGATAAGCCCACAGCTTACGGGCTTACTGTTACACATGAAAGTACGCACACATGTGCACACACAGTTTAGGCCACTTCAGTGCCTGTGAAGTACAGGCCGTCACGCACATGATGCTGTATCAAAGCCAGAACCACTCTCTGAGGAAGATCTAAGACACATCCTACAGTCTGAGGGGAGGAAAATCTTGTTTGCTTAGATTTATGAGCCAGAGGTTGAGAACTGTGATAGATGTATTTATCTGTGGCCTAACTGACTATTGTATTAATGGACCTCTAAGGAATCTGTTAAAAGAATACATTAAAAACTCTATTTTATTTAAAATGTTGTCAGCTCACAATATTTCAAGATTGAAGATATTCCAGAAATTAACAAACTATATGTTTCTTTACAATATGCTTCATTAGTATATCAGCAAATTCTAAATATAGAACTGAATGCCATATGACCTGCAGGGTAAGTATCCATAAATGTAACATTGCATAGCATTTATCAAACTTTTAAAGCATTTATGGATAATTCCAAAAAACATTGGCAGATTAAAACTATCTGCTAGTAAAACAACATGGTAATTCATAAATCAAAGTATAAAACAAGGTTAAAAAATGTCAGTCAAAAACAGTCAAAAGTGCAGTTGCAGTAAGCATCTACTAAACCGAGAAAGCAATTACTGAATACATCCAGAGGATATTTAAATGGCGCAGCTTGTTGTTGATTGGAGTGTGGAAATGAAGCAACCAATCACAGGCTGGTACTTTCCTGCATGCACCCAATTCTACAAGTGGATCATCACAATGCAAGAAGCTACAGCATCAGAGCAGAGAGCCATTAAACCAGAGTCAGTGTTGCATATGGATACGTCCCAGCCTTATTTATACTGGATTCTACTATATTATATCCCAGCATTACTGATTTTAAAGAATAACTAAACCCCCAACCATCTATATAAACCTAAAACTAAACTAAATCCTCAATCAACTAAATAGTGTTGTTGATTGATTCTGCTTCAAATCTTTACATTTTAATATTTGAAATCCACATATTGTGCTATAAATATGTATAGCAACCGCCCTCTACTGGTTGAAACCTGTCTATTGCAATTTAATTTCACAATTGGCTGATCTGGGGGCAGGTGACTTATGTGGTGTTTTGCAACCAAAAAAACCCCTCTCACCTGACTCTGCAGACTGTGACCTGCTACATAGCCGTAGCCAGACACTCGCCCACAGACACTAGAGAGTTAGCCTCTTAAAGCCGCAAGCTTAGCTAATATTACAACACAGGTACCACACAGAAACGTATACAAACGGCCGTAAAATGTGCTTCTAGTGACTGTGAAAGCTCCAGCAGACTGTGTTTCCAGCGCAGACATGGAGAGTCAGCTGTATTGCTGCTACACTGAACGGTATTCAGTCTGACAAGCTGTCCGGTGTTACCTCCCACATCACACGCACCACAGCCACAAGGCCATGCCCATGGCTGAGTTGTAACCGATGAATTGTCTGCATTTCCAGCTCTTGGAGCAAATGCTTAGACTTCTCAGCCATTAATATGTATGTCTCAATTTACATTTGTCCATGCATTTACAGATCTATGTACGCATTCACAGATGTGTTAAACATTTACAAATCTCAATATATTTGCAAATCTAAATACACATGTGTAGATTTTTTTTTTTTTTTTTTACACATTTCCAAACACGGATTCTGAACACACATTTGCATATTCCTGTTCACATTCACAAATCTCAGTACATATTTATAGATTCTTTAACACATTTACAAATCTGATGACACACACATGGAATAAGATACAGTTACACAATTCTCCACTCACATTTATAAATAGTTTTGCTACAATAATGGCTCCATACACGCCCCCTGTATGATTCTCTCAGCTGCATTCTTTAAATTTGCTGGGGGAGAGGGAGCTAGCAGAATTTAGGCATTTAGTAACACTTAAAAACACACTTTTTAATATTGAGAATGGCTTATGTAAAGCATCATGCAAGTCTAAACATAAACGCATACTCCAAAAATAGCTACCATGTTAGATCCAATGTTAAAATTATAGACTTTTATCAAACTCGTACACCCCTGTCCATCACTGTGACAGATTATTATAACTCACAGCACAAAATCCTGAATTCAGGCTGTAGTGCCACTAGATGTTGATTTTATGGGGGGAATTTGATTGACATGGAGGTAGCAGGTGATCGACAGATTGCTGGGGAGTGTGAGAAAACATGTCAAAAGCCAGTGAACGCAGCTTGACATAGATTATGCACCAAAACTGCTTGCAGAGAAGACTCAGCTGGTATGTCATCAGACCTAATCAAAAGTACTCCTAAAAATAGCAAGATCCTGTTAACATGTGTTCAATGTAATAGTAAATCAGTAATTTATTGATTATTTACTAAAAACATTTTGTTGTTTTAGGTCAAAATGTCATCAAGCATGATCATCTGGGTTTTGACTCATCGTGAAATTCTGTCATTGCGATTGCAGAATTAGTCACTGTATTTTAACAGCTGCTTTTATACTGAAGCATCTGGGTAAAGTCGTCAAATTGTGCTTCTTTTTAGCACATTTTGGTGATGCTCCTGTATTAACTACATTTTTACAACTAAGAAATATTACAGCATTTAGGTATTTTATCACTGAGCTTGCATGTCTATACATCAACAAAACTTGATGTTAGCGATCACTATGCTGTCTGCAAACAGCCTGCAAACAACCGAATGATCGGACACTAACTGGACAAAAAAATAAACCTTCAACAGTGCAAACTCTAGCAGAGATGTCAACGTTAGTTCTACATAGCAACAATGGAAATCACAGGGAATCTGTCCATCTCTAGGGTCTCCAGTTCTCTTGAAGAATAATAATAATACATAATGCTCTCCTTTATGAAATTGATGCATAATTTCCTCACTTGTTCAACTGACATTTTGCTGCAATTACAACAGATGGCATAACGCTGGATTATATGTACCCCTAATTGCTCTATTGTAGAAACCTTGTTTGGAAGGAGGCAGTTTTAAGGAAACTGTCACTACCAGTACTAAGGACAGAGCCCGAGAGCTGTTTCCTAACCTTTTTTGCTGAGTATCTCTTTTTCAGCCATACCCTGTGTAAGATTCATGCAGCTAAACATATTCACACCTGGCATCTGTCAAATAAAAACCACAGTCTAAAGTTGCCTCCTGAAAAAAGCTCCCCTGAAGCAGTTTAGGAGTTTAGTGTGCAGCTCTAGGGCATCTCTACAGCAGTTAATGAGGAAACTTCTAATTTATTTTCCCCCACACACAGAGCTCCATGTCAACTGGGATACAATGAAAAAGTTACATAATTACACATAGGTTTTGATACAGAGAAACACAGAAACATAAGGAAGAAATGGACACGCATAAAGGAAAATAATAAATAGCAACGTGTATGCGTTATAATAGTGTACATTCTTGTACTCACCTCTGGTGTCAGAGCGTTGTTGTCTGTTGTTTGGCTAGAGAGCAGGACGTGTGTGAAGCCCTCCTCCTTCCTGACCACAATGTCTCGGAACCGACAGTTAGTCTCGTTCTGTCGCACATTATACCTGAGCCGCTTGTCGAACACGTAGCCTTTCTCCTCAGCCAACTTGCGCTTTACTGAGCTGTGTAGATGCATCTTGCCATTGGCCAGAGGTGAACCTGAGGAGGGATGACAAAACAGGTCAATGTGTTTTCTAGGATTAAAAATATAACACTTAAGACACTACCTACACTGTCATGACAACATGGCTCAAAATATTCCTTTAAAAACTATGTGTAAAATTCTTTCAACCCAGATCTTGGTTGATGTCAGTCCTGATAAGATTTTCTATCACCAATTTCCTTACTAGCATCTGGGGATGCAGCAACACTGCTAGAAAAAAAGTTCCACAGTCCCAGTAGTTACGTCCATTAGAAGTATCTGTTGCCATGAAAAACTGTGTGCATGCACATCAAAGTTGAACCAGCAAAAAGCTTGGAATCCAAACCAGTGGTTTAGATAATGTAGTTAAACTTTCTAAAAGCTTTGTGTAAGGGACTGTACAAAGCTTTATTTGACTGGGTATGCAATATATTTGCGTATATACATATGTGTGTATGTAAAAAAGTGCAATTTCTTCATACCAAATCGGACTTTCTTTTTGTTTTCTTATGTCTTTCAGTTTGCAGTTTTTTTGAAGGTTCCTAGATAGCATTTTCAGCATTTATGACCTTATCACATATTCAACATATATATACTAAAACATAGGTATTTTATTAACAACTTATATTTTTTAAGTGTAGCCTTGAATTTGTTAGTTATTTTTCCCTATTACATTTGCTTTTGTGTGGACACTTTCAGCTGCCAAGATAGTGTTCACCTATTTCTGTGTCATCTGACAGTATTTTCTCTGCATGGCATCTGAGCTGTCACTGTGGGATTCATTGAATTTGACATTTTCTTGATTGCATTAATATTAAAAAAAAGGCCTTTTCACAAAAATAAACCTTGACTTTCGGGAGCAGTGCAATCCCTAGAGGGCCAACATTAATCCAAAAACTGTTCTGATTCACATATATTGATAAAAAGGTTTCTGTGAAAGCTGAGTAACAGCATCTCAGTTGTGTACTTTCATCAGCTGAATAGATGCAAGAGTCCTTTATCTAAGATCTAGTGATGCACTGGCAGCAAACAATAGCACACAAATAAGTCATACATCACTCAGCACAGTTTTTCTCACCACAGCAAGCAAGTGGTGTGATGCTCTTTTAAAAACATTTCAGCCAGTAATTTCAATTACGAAAAGCTTGGTCTCATATTCGAAAAAAAACAAAACTTTTCATATTTGCTTCCAGTGGAGACTTTGAAATGACCTGAAAGCCCTCATTGAGCACATCAGTCTGTGCTTGTAACCATGAGTGATTTCATGATGAATAATGCAGTGAGGCAGTGCACTCCCTTTAGAAATTGGTCACCAATAGACACAAGCAATAGCAAACTAAATGAGAAAAAAAGCAGGGTATATTATAACAACACATTTAGATAATTGTAATTTAGGATTAAGATATGAGAAATTGGCATTAAATATTTAAATCATCCCTCCAGGCTTTCTAAAACTCAGACCCAATATTTCAAATTACAGATAAACCTAATGAATTGGGGTTTATTCCTCTAACAAACAGAATCATCTGAAGTGTGTCTTTCTAAAAGTCAGGATAGTTGTAGGACAGGAGGCTGAGGCTTTCTTTCCACTGACAATGCTTCAGACCTGTGACAACACTGCTTTAAATTTCTGGACAATTAAGAGGTGCTGTCTGCAACTGGTGCTACCATCAACTAGCAGACTGTCATGGAGATGCCAACATCTCAATCACTGTGGTAAAACTGATGCCATTTGCAGTCTTCACTCCCACAATTTATTGAAAGACTTTGCTGCAGATTTGAATTTGTCCACTGGCTCCAAAAAAAATCATGGGTAGTATGACGAAAGAGAAACTCGACAGGAATGTTTAATCATGTTTTAATCTTTAATGGAATGGGCACCTTGTTGCTGCTATGCAAGGTATTTTCATGTTCTTATAGTCATCTTCTAAATATATAGGTCTGTTTTATTTTATTAAATTTTTTTCTAATTACATAACCTTGTGTGCACATTTTGCTGCCAGTTGACAATTGGAGAGACACATCTGCCAGTGTAGCATGATAATGGGTGGAGCTGAGGGTGCTGAATGAGGTAGTCTCTTGAGGAGTAGGAGATTAGGATCCATAATAGCTGTCAGACCGGTAGTTTAGGTTGGTAGCCCTTATGTTCTCTCATAGAGAAGCTCTCAGGTGAGGTCTCACGATGACTAATTGCGTTGTGGTGCTTTAAAAAGAGTGAACAACTAACAAATTTCATGTGGAACTTTGCAGAACTTGAATTGGTCTTTAGCCCCAACAGTAAAATAGGACTTGCATCACTTAAGTTGGGCAATAAAATGTTTTATGGACAGCAA